TAAAAAAATATTGCAAATGAATATCTGTTAAACATTTCAAGAGACAAAATCACATCTTAAATCTATCTCCAAAGGAAAAACAGCTATCATGTCTTTAAAATCTGAACACTAATTATTAATAACTCTACTGGGTGAGAAATAACTATCATGTCTATAAGATCTAAACATAACTGCTAAATCACTACTAAATTCAAACGATTTATAATACATCTATGACTATAAGCCATGTAAAGGCAACAAAATCAAAATTATATATACATAAATAGATGCACAAACATACATGTAAAATGATACAAGTCTGAACATCTCAGATACACGTGGATCAATTTGAGGTATTGGACCTATTGGCCAACAATCATCCTGAATGGATATTGTTAAGAATATATAAAAAATTAAATTTTGGGTATAGTGTGATTTACAGATAGAAGATGAAAATGAAATGGGAAAATGGTCAGATTAGGGACATGGAAAGGAAGTACAAACAGGCTGATTCACATGCAAAAAGGAAGAAAAATATGACTAGTATAATTTGTAAAAGAAGTTTAGATTGCTCAATGATTTGGAAATTTTGAGGAAAAGGAGAAACTTTCACGACCCCCGAGGTAAAAGCGCCTCCTTTATGCATGCCTAACATATATAGTTCCAAAAACAAAAGGAACAGAAATATAAACATAGAAGGAAGAAAACAACTTTAATTTCTCCTACTTGGTATTGGTGATTCAATGCTTGACATTAGTGTATGCGCCACACAGCAGATTCCGACACTGGACCCTTCAATAATGGAACAAAGAAAAACATCAAATCTGTGGAGTGGCCAAGAAAAATTAGTGCTCAGATTTGAAAGCAGTGTTTGCAGACTTTGTCCTAAAAAGTATAAGCACCATCAGATCAAGAAGTTGCAAGTAGTGAGATGCATATCGAAGAAAGGACAATAAAATAAGATTTCACACCACTTTTCTGAAATGTAGGGAGATAAAAAGTCATGTGCTTGTTGTTAACAATATGCATTGGTCCTGGTCAATTTGACAAATATTCTACAGCAAAATTCAAAGACAACTCCTAACCCCACAGTCTTTTATCTTGATGGGCGAAAGTATAAAGAGTCGGCAGGATAAACTTAAGTCCTCACCGTGCCATTTAGAAGTAATTTTACTTCATTAGAATCATCCAAATGACGGACACCAACCCTTCCCTCAATTGAACCGCACCTAAAAAAAGAAGGAAAATCAAATTCAATAGTCCAGCAAGTACACTAACGCAAGTCTCGGTTTCCTGGTTAGCACATTTTGTGATATTGACTCAACAAGGTGTTGAATAGCTACTTATTGACACTGTGCATCAGGCTGGCATAGCTATTAGTTCTTCCATCCATGATCCAATTACTTGTTTCTAGTAGAATCAACATATCAAAATAACTAAAAGAGAAGAATGTTGAACTTAATGATTTAAAACAAATAGAACTACAAGAAACTATTTCAGGGCTAGACACAGGCAGGAAGGATAATTGGATAAACAAGCATGTGTGGGTGCGGCGGGTGAGTAGGGAAAGATGAAAAGAAAGGGGATCCATCCACATATTGCATAAATAATTCATAATATCACTAAGGTTAATTAAAATTTTTAGTAAGTCGCTACTATGTGATCCACTACGCACTGAGAGGTAGGCCAGTTAGGGCTTGGGGTCTCTGGGTCATATTGGCTTAGAGGTCTCTAATCCGAACCTTCAAGAGAGCTTAATACCAAAAACTCTTGATGTCTTCTAGGTTCGAGTCTTGGGACAGACACGGGTGGCTTCGGGTGTGTGGAAACAAAGCTCCGACTCCTGATTATCAAAGGAAAAAAATGCTATGTGATCCATTCCTCAGCTGTTGGATGGGAAACAAACAAATGGCTGAATTCTGAAAGTCATCTGCGGACCTACTCATGCCCTTTAAATTGATATACTTAGAAAATTCTAATATTGGAACATCAAATTTTAGATCGTCTTATAAGAAAAACATTAAAGAACAAGGGGAAAACATAGCCCCAAAGGGTCAGTCCAATTGATAAGAGTTTTAGTTTCTTGGTCATACTGGCTTAGAGGTCTCAAGTTCGAACCTTCTAGTGAGCTTAATACCAAAAATCCTAGATATCTTCTGGGTCCGGACCTTGGGACGGGCACGGGTATCCCTGTGTATATGCAAAGGTTTGAAGAGACACTCTGCCACTTCATACAAGAAAAAAATTATAGTTAAAAGTATTTATAATTAATTAGAACAAAAACTCCTCCCTATCTCTACAATAATATAATACTGCATACTTTAGACTTAAAAGGTTGCATAGTTTTACTTTTCAAAATGAAAATGTTCTTACGTGTATATGTCTATATTTTCATTTTATAACTGATGAGAGAAAGCAGCCATAAAATATGATCTAAAAAGAAGTCGCGATCTAAATTCCACAAATAACAGAAACGGAACAATTAAGTTAATGATCATCATCCACGCCAACCAAGCCAGAAGGGACGGGCCATTTCAAATTCCAATTCAAATCAAGCTTTCCAAGAGTACTAGAGTAAAATATAATACACGCCTAACAAAACTCAACGAAGAACTACAATAAACAAAAATTAGGTCAAAAACATTACGAAATGATAGAAAAACAGTGCATTACATCGCGGTTGCGTCACATTCAAAAACAATGAGAAGACGAACAAATATCCGAACGTTAATCTCTCATACCTCAAGTGTTTCGCCTGAATCGGAGTGCGCCAGCCGAAGTAGACGCTGACCTATAATATAACTTCAAAAAACCATAATCAGTAACAACAAAAATACGAGATTCGGAAACATGAACTGACCTACTATTTTCAATTTTCGCATTGCTTAAAAAACAATAGAGAACAAATCGGCATAATTCGATTAAGAGAGAAAAGATTAATGAGTACCAGCGAAAGAAAGAGAAGAACAATTCAATGGCGAAAGCGAGGGAAGAGCAATGGCAGAATTACAAAGGCGCCAACCAGTACAGAACAAAATAGAAAGAGCGTAGGCGAAATTGGGTTGTCAGATCGTGGGCTTGGCGCGGCCCATTGGATCGCGATGGCCCAATTATGAATCTCTCCAATTATCTTCTTAAGTTTTTAATTGATTTTTTAAATCATTTTCATATATTATTATATTGCCCTTGCCCATGTGCAGGGACAATTAAGCTATACGCGAGTGAAGAAACTATGTTAAAGATGAATAAACCACTACTCAACCAAAAAGTTTAAGTTGATGGACTGTGTAAATTTGATTTATCTATATGGATTCTCAACCATTGAAAATACACACTACTCAAAAAATCCACAATTAATAGGCTCATAAATATTTCTCAATTTTGATTAGTTTAACTTTCAAATTTGTTAACTTTAATCTATTTGTTCACGTTTCTTTCAAATTTCCTTAAAAATATCGACCCATTAATATAAGCTCATCACAATCCTCCCAAGTTTACTTTGAGAGGCCGGAGACATTCCATATTTCTTTTATCTTTTTATTTATTTTTTTCACAACGAAAACTTTTACATTTTTTTTATAAATTATATTTTTTTTATTGCTCAAAACCCAATATCTGATATTTGTTTAAATTTGCTTACTTAGATTATCAATATGTCTAAAAAAAATATGGTGGATATGAAAAACTTAAAAGAAAAGAAGAGTAAAAAAACTTATTGAATATCAAAAAAGTGCTCTTAATAAATTTGTTATTGAAAGTAAAAGTAATGAAATGATGAAATAATAGAAGAAATGATAGGTATCGACAAATCAAGAGATGAAAAAAATATATAGTAGATAATGATACGATTTTTGAAAATGAAGCCTCTAATCATGAAAAAAAAAACTAGAGAATAAGTATAGAGAAAATTGATTCACAACTGTTATGATTTCAACTAAGGAAATTGTAAATGTTATAGAAATACAATCAATATTTCGTGAAAAAATAGCGATTAAAAAAAATTGATGAGAATGATGATATTGAAGAAACACGATCACCGCAAGATTCTTTTAGAATTGATTGTTTTTACTATATTATAGATTAAACAATTTCTTCACTTCAAAATAGATTTGAACAATTTCACGTCTTTTGACATGAAATTTTTAAAGTCATTAAATGATGATAATATGAAAATATATTATATTAATCTTGAAAATACATAAAAAGATGATACTAATATTAGCGGTTTAGATTTATTTTTTGAATTAAAAATATTAAGAGAAGTCCTATCCTATTAAAAAATATTAAATTATAGAAATAAAGGTAGACGCTTTTCCAACGACGTATATTTCTTATTGAATACTATTAACAATACCAGCAATAGTTGCTTCCGCTGGAAGAAGCTTTTAAAAATTAAAAGTAATCGTATTTAAGGCCTATTATGTTACAAGAAAGATTAAATAGATGGGTCATATTATTCATTTAAATGATATATCAATAAACTTAGATGAATCTCAAAAATTAAGAAAAATAAAATTTAGACGATATTTTATATATTAAGGTCTTTCAATCAAAGTTTTGCCGAAGGTCCTGTGCCCAGGTGTTTTTAAATAATTTTTCTACTATTCTTATTTTTCCTAGTTTTGTACTGCTTATTTTTCTCATCCTTGTTCTAAAAGTATGTATAAAATAATTCGAGCAAACTTAAATTAAAAGATTCATATTTCCTATAAAGATTCGAATGTGTGAAGTTTCCCCTTATATTTGTGATATTATATCCTCGTGGTTTGAGTGATAATTGTAAAATACACTTTTGTGATTTATTTTCACTTTTTAAATTTATACATATATGTTGTAAAAATGATGTTATTCACACCTAGAGAAAAATAAGTCATGCACAAATTTATTAAAATTATTAATAATAATTAAAGGATGCTATTTCTAAACTTTGGAAATAACTTTTTTTACAAATTTATTCAGTAAAATTTCAATGAAGGTGTCATATCATATATATAGATATAGTAACAAAATAATAATTTGGCAAAAATGGTAATTTTAAAAAAAATTTACACGTCTATTTAAACATTTCTACGTAATTATATTGCTGCCATCGTTTATCACTCATTCTATTTATGTAATTCTATAATACTACTAATGTATATGTGATTACTTGAGTTTGTTTTGTCGTCGACCTGAATATAGCTCAACTTACTTATAAAAATGAGTTTGTTTTGTCGTATATATCATGTTGTTAACGTCTCTACGTACTTTGTAGTAACAACATTTTTCAAACGGGCTTTATAAACTTCGTCCACCCTTTCTTCTTTGCTACTATTAGTTGAGACAATATCCACAGTTACTTCATGAAAAGAAAGAACTTTGGCAATAGAGACCAAACAAAATCCAGAACAATTGATTCTATAAGAGAAGGAATGGGATAAATGATAAATTTATGGAAAATTAATTGTAATAAATAAATAAATAAGGAAGCAAAATAAATAGCCAAATGCCAAAAGAGTAGCTCCAATGCAACTTCAAATATCTATAAAGTGATTAAAAATGAGCATCCATGGAAGACCAAAACAAGTAATAAATTAATAATTGAATAGGCAAATTTGATCGACAACACGTCTTTCTGATGCGACACAAAAAAAAAAGAGAGAGAGAATATCATATTCTGATCGTAAAAATTCACCGCCACACAACTTTTCAATTGTTTGTAGAAAAATATTTGGGAAAGATAGTCTTTCTTGATCATTTTTTCATGATCTCAGGACTTCTCCCATTCGGATAAGGTATCAGTTCATTCATGTATCCCTCTTCTCTATTCGGACGTCACATGCCCACCAGTTTCCGCTTGGTTCGTTCCCGAACCATATCGTACTGGGAGAGGTTTCGCTATGATGTCATTCTGTAACGCCCCAAGTCTAGGACTCGGATCAAGATGCCGAATTCGAATTCCAAATTATGGGCCTTGGACGTTACAGAATGAATCATGGGCTTGGGGCGTTACGCCCCTTCATAATTAGAAGTCTAGTACGTAGAAAAGATAATTTGGATGATGTGACATATCTGACTTGGAAAATATCATTCATTTCATTAGTATTCCATCGATATTCATCACGTGGTTGCAGGGCGTTAGAGACATTGCGTAGCACGATTAATACGATGAAACTCTAACACTTCTACATGTTATTGATCCATGCGATTATCGAGTCCCCAAAGGACAGCCGAGTTTAAAATGACTTGAAGTATCTTGGTCATAGATGCATCAATAAGATTGTCTTGCCTAATGCTTATATGTAAAATTAATATTTTCTATTTTTTTTAATGTTTTGCATCTTGAGTAATAGATGGATCAAACCCATATTTCAATAAATACTAT